CAGGGCTCAGGAAGACACCATGTTATGAAGTTGGACTAGTCCAGGGGTAGTCAACCTTGGCTCTTTTATGACTCGTGGACTTCAACTCCCAGAATTCCTGAGCCAGCCACGCTGAGGGGAAAGGGAGATGTTTCCAAGCTGAGCCATGCTGGCTCAGGAATTCTGAGAGTTGAAGTCCACGAGTCATGAAGGGGCCACAGTTCCCCCATGCTGGCTGAGGAATTCTGGGAGTTGAAGTCCACGAGTCATAAAGGGGGCCATAGTTCCCCCATGCTGGCTGAGGAATTCTGGGAGTTGAAGTCCACCAGTCATGAAGGGGCCATAGTTCCCCCATGCTGGCTGAGGAATTCTGGGAGTTGAAGTCCACGAGTCATAAAGGGGGCCATAGTTCCCCCATGCTGGCTGAGGAATTCTGGGAGTTGAAGTCCACGAGTCATAAAAGAGCCAAGGTTGACTACCCTGAACTAGTCTATAACTGATGATAATAAACTGCCTTTCTTAGTCATTTCATGTGACAGAACTCAAAAACCCTTATTCTACTTCCAGCAGCTTCTGACACCTTGTGTCCTTGTTCCTGATAAGTCCTGGAACAGGTTCCATTTCTTGTTTCTCTGAAGTCATTCAAGACCTACTAATTTTCAACCGGTGACTGCTAAGGTGATGGAGAGCGTGTGACTTGCTTCAGCATAACTGCTGAAGTTTGCTTCTGCCCTGTTAATAGGACCAGTCGATCCTGCTACTCTGGAATGCTGGATTTTTTGAGGCCAAACCTGTCCCCATGTCCCCCCCCATGGAAACTCATGACAAACCGTGTTTTTTCTTTTTGCTCACTCCAGTTTATTGGATTTGTTGGATTACTGGATTTGTTCAACACTGAGGAACCACAAACTAAACGCACAGGCTGGACTTATGTGATTCCCGTGTTCTTTACTTGTAGTTCGTATGATAGGGTGTAACAACGTCAAGGCAGTTGAGGTTGAGAGGCCAGTGCTTCCTTAAATCTTTTTATAAATTATTTCACTTTTTATGAGGTTTGGTTTTTTTTTGCAACTTCAGCACTACAGTATGCACGATAAATAAACCTTGCAACAATTATATATAGCTTTCGATGCATTCTTTTTTTTTAAAAAAAAAGGCATTTTTAATCATAGTTTAAGAGCATTTTTACAGTCCAAGCTACAGATAGTCCTTCACTTATGACCACAGTTAAGCCCAAAACTTCTGTTGCTAAGAGAGACAGCTGTTTTGCTCCATTTTCTTGCTGCAGCTGTTAAGTTAGTGACACGGTTGTTAAGTGAATCTGGTTTTCCCGTTGGCTTTGCTTGTCAGAAGGTCACAAATGACTCTAAGACACGGCAGCCATCATAAATATGAGTCAGTTGCCAAGCGTCTGAATTTGATTGGAGTAGATGCACCATTTTCTTTCTGCCAGGATACAAAGTGTGAACAGAGACCCAAAAGGTGTATCAGCATCGCCTGCATTTCATCTTCAGTCTCCATCTGATTTTGGATGGCAGATCAAGTGATTGAAAAGTCTGAGCTAATTAGGCGTCTTTCTTACTTCTTCTCTATCCCCTGCTCTAGTTTTTGTTTTCTAAAAAGATTAACATCATGCCCAATAGAGGGTTCTGAGATTCTGAGATTATGAGGTTGAGGTGCACCTGGAGGCTCCAGCTAGTTCAGAATGCGGCCGCGCAGGGGATTTGGGGGGCCTCTAGATACTCCCATGTAACACCTCTCCTGCGCGAGCTGCACTGGCTGCCGGTGGCCTTCCGGGTGCGCTTCAAGGTGTTAGTAACAACTTTTAAAGCGCTCCATGGCAATGGACCTAGGTATTTGCAAGACCGCCTCCTACCAAATGCCTCCCTTCGACCAGTCCGCTCCCACAGAGAGGGCCTCCTTAGGGTGCCGTCGGCCAGTCAATGCCGGCTGGCGACCCCCAGGGGGAGAGCCTTCTCTGTGGCAGCTCCTGCCCTCTGGAATGACCTACCCCCCCCGACCTACGTACAACTACGGACCTGCGCCTCTTCCGCCGAGCCTTGAAAACCCATCTATTGCATGCGGCCGGCCTGGCGTAGTTTTGATTGGGCTTTACTAGGGGTTTTATATGGGGTATTTTAGAGCCGGCTTTTTATTCAATATTTATTGTGATTTTTATTATTGCCTGTTCACCGCCCTGAGTCCCGTAAGGGAGATAGGGCGGTATATAAATTTAAATAATAATAATAATAATAATAATAATAATAATAATAATAATAATAATAATAATAATAATAATAATAATAATAATAATAATAATAATAATAATAATAATAATAATAATAATAATAATTATTTTTGGTAACCAGGAAAAGATATTATCTTATTAATTCTGAGTTTTCTTTCCCACAAATCAACCCTACTGTAATTGCTTTTTATGATTATGGATGGGTTTCATTTCTTTATTTTGCTTTCGTTACTAACACTCTCCCACACAGCAATTGTGAAAGACAAGGCTAACACCTTTTTTATTTTAAAATCTCTCCTTAAATGACATCTCTTAAAGAGCTGCTTCCGATGTGGTGAATGGAAGCCTTTAAAAAACATCTTTGGAAAATTCTGTAAAATTTAATTTTATTGATCAGCAGTAAAACGTTGTTTTATGGCTGTGAAAGTTGGACCATAAGAAAGGCTGAGCGCCAAAGAATTGAGGCCTTTGAACTCTGGGGCTGGAGAAGACTCCTGTGAGTCCCCTGGACTGCAAGGTGATCAAACCGGTCAGTCCTAGAAATCAACCCTGACTGCTCTTTAGAAGGCCAGATCCTGAAGTTGGAACTCAAGTACTTTGGCCACCTAATGAGAAGGAAGGACTCACTGGAGAAGAGCCTGATGCTGGGAAAGATGGAGGGCAAGAGAAGAAGGGGACGACAGAGAAGGAGGTGGCTGGATGGAGTCACTGAAGCAGGAGGCCTGAGCTTAAATGGACTCTAGAAGATGGTACAGGACAGGAAGGCCTGCAGGAATGTTGTGCATGGGATCGCGATGGGTCAGACACGACTTTGCAACTAACAACAACAAAACGTTGCTCTAAGTTACAATTCGAAGACGCAGGGTTACAATTGTCAGGATTGTGATTTTTTTTTTTAAAAAAAAAAACTGATTGGCCCATTTCATTCACTCTTATAAAAGGTTATTTGGTATATTTTTAATACAAACGTCTTAGAACTTTTAATGGTGCAATTTCTGACCTTGAAATAGGGTCACATTTTCTTCTCTCTGGATCTAGTCACCCAACCGCTGTTTACTTCGGGTAGCGGTTTTGTACATTTTTCATGGGCTTACATGTTGGCTATAGAAGTGCTTCAAAACGAACAGACTTTAGCTTGGTGCGTGGATATACACATTCCACTTTCCTTTTAATAGTCAGCACTTAAGTGTTGCCGTAGGAGTCAATAAATACTCCCACATGTGTCTCACAAGGAAAAATAAGCACTTTGTCAGCGGCTTCCTAATCTTCCCAAAAGGTGTTTGACGAGCTGTTCTCCATCAATAGTTGAACAGTCAACCAAAGCTACACTGCACATTGAAAGAGTCAACCGTGAAAAGGGATATTGTCTTAGCCTGATTTTTTTTTCTTAAAAAGGGAAATCTCTTGTGATTTTCCTATGTTCTTGCCAATGGAGAGAGAATTTAAATAAATTAAATTTCAGAGTTATGCCCAGCGGGGTTTCAAGTGGCAGCAGCCGAGAACTTGGGCATGGGCGATGGCATGGTGATTGTCAACCAGAAATTGTTTACAGCTTTCAGGGTCCAAATTCTGCAGGTCACCCAATGGGATACTCTGTTTATGAAGCTGGGCTCTAGGGACCAGTTGGGATTCTTGCTGTTTCCCCAGCAATCTTTCTGCTTGAGTTCCTTGACTTTACCTCCAAGTTGGCAGATGAGTTCCCAGGACTCAACATCTACATGAGATTGCTGGGCGAACTCAACTGTCACCTTGGGGTGATGATGTACATCTCAGCTTCTGGTGAAGTAAGCAATGCTGTAGTAGATCTCCTATTCTGGTGTCTGGAGGCTTTGAGCGTCTGGATGGAGGACATCAGGCTTCAGCTGAACCCTGGGCAAGGCTTTGTGCTTTAAGGCCCTCTGGTTCTAGAACTATACCATCTCTGGTGCTGGATAGGGTTGCATTGTCTCAAAAAGACCCTGTGCCAGTGGTGGAATTCAAATCCCTGAACAACTGGTTCTCTGCATGGATGCAGGCCTGGGCCTCCGAGGCCTAGAACAGACTTCCGGAAGTGGCATCCCTGCACTTCTGGTGGGCCGTTCTAGGCCTAGGAGGCCTCCTCCAGGCCTCCCAGGCCTAGAACAGACTTCCGGAAGCGGTGTGCATTCAGCCGGTTCTCCGAACTCAACAAAATTTAGCTACTGGTTCTGCCGAACTGGTGAAAACCAGCTGAATCCCATCACTGCCCTATGCACAATCTGGACTCATGACTTCTGCGGTAGGAGAAGGTAGCGGTCACGGCCAGGAGGTCTTTTACACACTGCAGAGCTGATGTCCACAAATTATAAGTCAAACTTTGGGAAGCCAACTTCTATGACGTCAAAGTATAAGTTCATTCAGCCAACAATTGCTTGACTATTTTGTAGCCCTGTTTGAAAAACTGAGTTGAACCTAAGAACTTGTGAAACAGAAGGATATGTTCTACCGCTGTATCATGAATAATTCATTTCGGTTGATTGGCAGCGTGCATCTTGTCTTTATCTGTAAATATATTGGAGTGAGTAGGCTCACTGGACTGATTTAAAAGACCATTGACATTAATTCTCATTTCATGGAAGCTTGAGGCCCTTCAAATAATAGCACTTGACTGACAGATAGTTTCTCTCGTTGATTTCAATGGGATGCAAATTCCGCTAAGTTTGTTTGGATCCATATAAAGAGTATGAGTTTTTAACCTGTAAATGGAATTAATTTGCTTTATTTATTTTTTTCATTTCTTTACAGCCCGCTTACAATGCATCACATAATACAAACTGTATATAGCTGGTTTTGGTGGGAGAACATCTGGATGCCTGCTAACTGCACATGGGCAGATTTAGAAGATCATAATGGATACGTCTTTCCCAAACCACGAATGCTATTTGCCACAATTCCATATGTCTTTGTGATGTTGGTTATCAGGTTCTTTGTTGAAAGGTAAACATTTTTTTTTAAAGAAATCTTATTTTCTGCTTCAAAAAATTCAAAATAACACTTTCCCACTGTTCCATGCACCTGTGGTGTAACTTCCTTAACTACTAGAGAGAAATGGGTTGGATCTGCCATCCGAAAGGTGTGTTAGCTGGAAATTCTGACAGTTGAGGGTGAAGGTTCATTCTCCGAGCTTGTGGGTTGGTTTCTGAATGTTTCGTTACCAGGCTAGGTAACATCTCCAGTGGAGCTTAGGGGATTTTCTGTGTCTGTGTTCTTCTGCTTATAAGGGCTTCAGGTGTGAGTGTGTCAACAGAGACAGATATTCGCCACTATTGCAATTCTAATCGTTGTTTTAAACCCTTCGGAGGATGCCCAATTTAAGGAAGACTCATCTGTCCTGGAACATGGACTAAGCCAGGGGTAGGCAACCTTGGCTCTTTTATGACTCGTGGACTTCAACTCCCAGAATTCCTGAGCCAGCCATGCTGAGGGTAAAGGGAGAGGGGTTTCCAAGCTGAGCCAGGCTGGCTCAGGAATTCTGGGAGTTGAGGTCCAGGAGTCATAAAAGAGCCAAGGTTGCCTACCCCTGGTCTAGACTCTAGGCCTAGGGTAGGGGTCTTCAAACTTGGCCCTTTTATGACTCGTGGAATTCAACTCCCAGAATTCCTGAACCAGCCATGCTGAGGGGAAAGGGAGAGGTTTCCAAGCTGAGCCAGGCTGGCTCAGGAATTCTGGGAGTTGAAGTCCAGGAGTCATAAAAGAGCCAAGGTTGCCTACCCCTGGTCTAGACTCTAGGCCTAGGGTAGGGGTCTTCAAACTTGGCCATTTTATGACTCGTGGAATTCAACTCCCAGAATTCCTGAACCAGCCATGCTGAGGGGAAAGGGAGAGGTTTCCAAGCTGAGCCAGGCTGGCTCAGGAATTCTGGGAGTTGAAGTCCAGGAGTCATAAAAGAGCCCAGGTTGCCTACCCCTGGACTAAGCTATGCTAATGAAGTGATGACACAATCCAACACTGAGTGATTCTTCCACAACTCCCCACGAGAGAAAGCAAATGGGTTGCCGCCATGAATACAGAAAACCTGTCCTTCAGCCCAAGCAGGGAGCACTTCATTTTCCTGTGCAATAATATTGAAATCATTACGTCTACAAACTTCCTTTTTTTAAATTGTCTTTCAGATATATTGCCCTTCCTCTGGCTGACTACTTGGGCATAAAGAATGTGAGGCGGATCAAACCACAGGATAATCCCACCCTGGAACATTTTTTCCGAAAGTGCACAAAAAAGCCCTCCCAGGTGAGGATTTTTGTGTGTGTGTGAAAATTGTCCCATGGGAGATTTTCCATGCCCCAAATCACTGCCTGGTTCTACTGTCTATGCAGCCTGCCAATCTTGGTGAGCCTGCCAATCTTCAGAGCATGAAGAACTCCAGACAACTGTAGCTCAGAGAGGGGTGCCAGAATTGTAGTTCAGTAACATCTGGAGTTTCCCAATCTTGTTAGCCCCCTGCATGCTTCTTACGAGTCCTCCACTCAGTGTTTCTCAACCTTGAGAAACTTTAAGGTGTGTGGACTTCAGCTTCAGAATTCCCTAGCCAGCCATGCTGTTGAAGACCACACCTGCTGTCCATCCCATTGGAATGGAATGGAATGGAATGGAATAGAATAGAATAGAATAGAATAGAATAGAATAGAATAGAATAGAATAGAATAGAATAGAATAGAATAGAATAGAATATAGAATATAGAATATAGAATATAGAATATAGAATATAGAATATAGAATAGAATATAGAGTAGAATAGAATAGAATAGAATAGAATAGAATAGAATAGAATAGAATAGAATAGAATAGAATAGAATAGAAAATATGGAATGGAATGGAATGGAATAGAATAGAATAGAATATAGAATAATATAGAATATATAATAGAATATAGAATAATGTAGAATATAGAATATAGAATAGAATATAGAATATAGAATAGAATAGAATATAGAATAATATAGAATATAGAATATAGAATAATATAGAATATAGAATATAGAATAGAATATAGAATAATATAGAATAATATAGAATAATATAGAATATAGAATAGAATAGAATATAGAATAATATAGAATATAGAATAGAATAGAATATAGAATAATATAGAATATAGAATATAGAATATAGAATATAGAATATAGAATATAGAATAGAATAGAATAGAATAGAATAGAATAGAACAGAATAAATTCCTTTTGTATTTATTGTTGCTAAGACTAAAGGGAACTGGGGTGAAAATTTCACACATGTTCACACCGTTGGGAAATATTCATCCAGCCTATGCATATTTTGCCACAGTTTCCCTAGCCTGATAAAAATCAGATCTTATCTTTCCTTTCCAAGGAGTTTGAAGCCCAAATGAAACCAGTGTTAGCAAGTCTTAGATTTGCATAATTCATTTGCAGGCGCAAGAGGTTGTCTCGGCTTCTGTGAGCTTCCAAGCTCTACGCTGTACGAAGCTGCGCAGAGTTTGACCTGCCTGGCATGTTTGCATCACAATTTGAAAATGGGCTGGAACGCAGGCTCGTCACCCACACGGATGAGAATAAAGAAATGAAGTGATTTTGATTAGCGCTCCCTTGCTTTATAAACAGATAATCCTTGACCTACAACCGTTCATTTAGGGATGGTTCAAAGTTACGACATCCCTGAAAAAAAATTACTGGTTTTCACATTTACATGACTGTTTGCAGCATCCCCACGGATCACGCGATTAAAATTCAGGCACTCGGCAACTGGCATGGACTTATGTCAGTTGCATTGTCCCGGGGTCATGTGATCTCCATTTGCAACCTTCCCAGCTGTTTCCTGACAAGCAAACTCAGTGGAGCAAGCCAGATTCATTTAGTAACTGCACGAGTCACTTAACAACTGTAGCAAAATGGTCGTAGAATGAGGCACAGCTCACTTAACAAGTGAGCTGTGGAACAGCCCTTAACTTTCTCGCCTAGCAATGAAAATTTTGGGCTCCATTAGAGTCGTAACTCGAGGAGGACCTGTGTTCTTTCCATTAAATTTAGCATTAAAGTGGCGCGAAGGGGAGGAGCTATGGAAGGGAGATTGTGTTTGGCGTGGATATCTCGTTTAGGTGAACCTGACCATTTTGTTTTCTGAAGCACAAGCAAAACTAAACTGCTTCTCTTCGCAGCTAGGCAGCTGCTGTCTGAAGATTCTTATATTCTGAACTTTTTAACTGTGGTGGAGTTACAACACACGGGTGGCATGGGAAAGCTGTTGGTAAATCTGGTTTGTTTCGTGTGCCGTTGAATTGCCAACCCTTTGCAGCACAACGAGATGCATCCCAATGCATTTTTCATCGATTGGGAATTATGTCGCAAGTGCTGCAAATAATGAGGGGAGGCGTCACAAGAAGGGGCAGCAGCTCTGAAGACCAGAAGACCCAGAAAAGTGATGGTCTTAACAGAAAAACAGAACAACAGAGTTGGAAGGGGACCTTTGAGGTCTTCTACTCAACCCCCTACTTTTAAACAGGAGTCCCGATACCATTTTAAACAAATGACTGTCCAGGCTTTTCTTAAAAGCCTCCAGTGATGGAGCACCCATAACTTCTGGAGGCAAGTCGTTCCACTGATTAATTGTCCACACTGTCAGGAAATTTCTCCTCAGTTCTAGGTTGCTTCTCTCCTTGATTAGCTTCCATCCGGTTGTTTCTTGTCCTGCCGTCAGGTGCTTTGGAGAATAGCTTGACTCCCTCTTCTTTGTGGCAGCCCCTGAGATACTGGAACGCTGCTGTCATGTCACCCCTAGTCTTTTTTCTGCCTTTCCCTGTACATAGTCTCCAGTGGATTAGGTGGTCTCCAATCTAAGAAAGCTTAAACCATTAGCATTTCTTCATTTGTATATTCATATAGTGCTTTTTAAAACAATGACGGGTAGTTTTTAGAACTTTTAGTGTCATGAGACTTTTTTTTAAATGTAACACATTTGCTCTCTGAGAAGGATGGACAGTGACCTCCTTCATCTCCTCCTCCTCCTCCTCCTCCTCCTCCTCCTCCTCCTCCTCCTCCTCCTCCTCCAAGCTGCAGTGCTTGTTTTGATAACTTGACTTCCAGCATGTGTATCACTGATTTCTGCCTCCTTCTTTCTCCAACCTTGCAGTCAGAAACACGTAGACTAGCTAAAAAGTGTAACTGGACTGTGCACCAGGTGGAAAAATGGTTCAGGCGAAGACGCAACCTAGAAATCCCAACTCTGCATAAAAAATTCAAGGAAGCATGGTAAGAAAAGAGCCCACTGTCCTCCTGCTTGTAAATATATATATATATATATATCTTCTCAGGTAGAAAAATAGCCAGAAATTTGACATTCAGTGGCATTCTGGATATTGCATAACCAGATATTTCCTTTCTTGTCAATCAACATAAATAAATAATAATATCAAACCACAACAACTACCTAACACAGGTCCTTGAGATGGACTTGATAGGTGGATAAAAATCTCAAATCCAGTCTAAACATCTGGCTGATTGTGCAACCAACTATAATAACAATAATAAACTATTATTTTATTATCAGTGAGCTTTGTCTTGCACATTCTCCAGAAACACGGATTACATTACATCACAGCTTCGACTGCAAAATTGCAGTAAACCGTCTTGTCTTTTTAAACCCCTCCAGCCAATCTTGAATACACTGAAGCTGTAGCTTGCGTTTCCAAATGGATATAGGCTTTTTTTTTTTTTTTACTAAATTTGAATACGAGGATTAGAAATTAATTTATTCTTCTGTTCTAATGACTTCCATGTTCTGTGCTTCCTCTTGAGCATGTGTGTATGTGTGTGCGTACATAATGCCAATTTATTCCTGTAATGAAGTGACATAACAATTTAAAGCTTGAGGGGCCCTTGGTGCTCTCTGAGCTTGCTTGTTTTCTTGCAGACATTTCATTCCCCAAACTAGGTAGCATCATCAGGGCTAGTTAGTTAGCTGACTAGCTAGCCCTGATGATGCTACCTAGTTTGAGTCATGAAACCTCCGCAAGAAAACAACCTAAGTTCAGAGAACACCACGGATCCCACATTTCAACCCTGAGCTACCAATACTCTCTTGTCAGTACTTTGGCTTATTTTGCAGTTACACCTAAAAACGGCTCAAATCACTGTAGTTAATGTAAATAATAAAAATGAGGCAAATTAATTCAGGAAGAGAGAGATGGGTAAACAGGCAGTACTGCTCTCCTAGCTATGGTGAGAAGATTAGGCAAGCCTATCTTACCATCTTCCTCTGTGTCCATGTGAACTCCTTGGTCTTAACAGTCATTTTATTTTTGCAGTTGGAGATGTTTATTCTACAGTACCTCATTTATTGCTGGAACTATATCTCTCTGTGATGTAAGTTCAATATGGGGCAGGGAAGGAGGACTCAAGGGGTAACCTAATCTGAGGTTGTTTTTACAGCAGCTTCCCATGAGTTGTTAAACTTGGGTTAGTATAACGATAGATGTAATCTGCCCCCAAATAGGATAAGCTAAACTTCTACTGTTATTATCCAGAGAGAGTCATTGTGATAATCAAGAGTTTATAATTTTATTGGGGGGGGGGGGTTCTTTCACTTTTGTTTGAAGAATTAAAGTTAAGGGAATTAAACCAGATGAGGCATTAAGCAGGAATAGTACACACACATTTGCACTATAAGAAAATGACCTGGGAGAGAAGATTGTTTTGACCTCCATGGTCCTATAATTTCGTAATTCGTAAAGATATAGATGCCTTCCAGCCCAGCTTGGCCGTCTTTGTGCAATTTTCTTGGCAGTTTTATCAAGACAGTTTGCCAACTGTTGAATAATGAATTTGAGGTTACATAAAGTTCTGCATCCTCCCATTACAGACCCCTTGTCTAAAAGACCACCCTCAGCTATGGAAACTCATGGTGTGATCTTGGGCCAGCCACTCATTCTCAGCCCTGTCTGACCAATCTACCTCACAGCCCTGTTGTGGGGATTAAAAATTAAAGGAGAGACCCATGGAAGCTACTTGTGCTTCTGGCTGACAGGTGGGACAGCAAACTAATAAATAAATATCAAATATCAAATACTCAAAGCAATTAGTGACCATGAGCTAATGGAAAGATTCCATGATGGAACATGGAATTTGCCCATATTGTGGTGCTTTCAATACAAAAGACAAAAGATTAACCTTGGCTTTATCCATCTTGTGATGCCTTCAATACCAACAAAAGATTTTTTTTAAAAAAATTTAAACTTATTTTTTCAATTTCTCAGGATCTTTAGTATCAAAACCCGTGTTCAGTTCTTTGGGGTGTTCTTGGGATATTAATCTATCAATTCAGTCCTGCTACGGCTCTGTTATGCTCATTTCCCATCCAGCTGCTAATTCTCAGTTTAATGATCTTGTTTTATGTTAACCTCTTATTATTTTTAAACCTTGCAAAGAACACCCAGCATTGTGCCATGCTGTAGACAGATAAATCTGTCAGGAAGAAAACCTGGCATGCTTGCTGTTAACATGCTTCTTCTTTTTGAGACCCCCTTGAGAATGACTCATTTCATATCTAGTTTTGCACTTTCTAGATATGTTACAGTGCATTGCTACTTTAAAAAAAAAAAAACCATGCCCGATTCTCAGAGATTGCCTGGATAAGTTCTACAAGATTTGGGGCAAGTTTTTTTCAGAAGTGATTTACCATTGCCTCCTTCTTAGGGCTGAGAGAAAATGACAGGCCCAATATCACCCAGTTGGCTTTGTGTCTACGGCCAGATTGTAATCTCCTGGTTTTCTAGCCTACATCAAACTGGCTCTTTTGTTTTGTAAAACACACAAAGTTCGCTTTAAGCACAAGGTTGTGTGTGACTATTCTGAAGTCCACCTGACTGCATTCAGTTAGGCTTTATTGCAGGCAAGTGGGCACAGGGCCGGCAGTTTGATTCAAGACTGAGATTTGCATACCATTTAATGCCTCTTGGTATCTACGCGTTTGATTCACAAAGTACAGTACTTTGCAGGATCCAATCTGGGTGAGTTTTCAGACTCATGCTAGAGCTGCTCTCTACTGGAACATGTGAGAAGTTCCATAAGGATGGGCTCCAGCACAAGTCCAAAAGCTTGGAAGATTAAACCTCTGGTCCCAGTGACCATCCCAGATTGGATCCTGCAACATTATCCTGGGACATGTATATTTGCCTTCATTCAACGAAGTATTTTGGGTATGGTTTTCTCAGTTACCCATAAGACTCTCGTCATAGCCATGTCCAATTTGGATCTTCCAAAAATGGAGAAGGGTGAAGATCCTTAGCGTGGGCCAGGAACATGCAAGTCCTAATGCTGGAGTCACAGAGCTGGGGGAGGGCATTAATCCATCTTCAGCCAAGGTAGCTTACTAGATGACTTTCAAGCAGTCACTATCTCTCTGCCCAACCTACTTCACAGGGGTAGTTGTGAGGAAGAAAGGTGCACTGCAATCAGAAGGTCTTTGACTTTCAGTTCCACTCTGGGGTGGCCACCACCTTGGGCAAGGCCAATAGGATTATCCTTATGAGCAGCAAAAGCAAATAATGCCTGGCCCCCAAATTACCTAGTGAATTGGTGGCAGAGATGAGATTGGCACTGTGGTCATGTGGGTCAATTAATGATTGTTTTCTGTCTCATTCTACGTTCCTTCCAGAAATCCTGGTTTTATGACCTTTGGCAAGTGTGGCTCAACTATCCAAACCACGTGAGTGCCTTATGGGTGCTGGTGCTTCTTGTTCTTTGGAAGTACCACTGTTGGCTTTGGGTGAAGAAATAGTCCTACCTTCATTTTTGATGGCACATGAATAGCTGTTTCACCATTTTGGTTCCAGTAACACAGGGGTCCATTAAGGGAAGATGGTAAATGAAGCATTCTCATGTGGTCATGATGAAACAAATAACAATCAGCAGACCACAAACAGTGTCCTCGCTTCAATATGCATCATTAGGAATGTTATTATTGCTAGTATTATTAGTATACACTGTATTAGACATATTAATACATATGTTTGCTTCCTTGAGTGATAGATATATAAAAAGGGAGGATGAAAAGCTAATATAGGTAGTACTCGGTTTACAATGACAGACCTACCAGGTCCATCTTGGCTACAGGTAGAACTCAAAGGATAAATCTTCTTAGAGACATGGTGGTGCAGTGGTTAGAATGCAGTACTGCAGGCTAACTCACTCCTCACTCCAGGAGTTTGATCCTGATTGGCTCAAGGTTGACTCAGCCTTCCATCCTTCTGAGGTTGGTAAAATGAGGACCCGGACTGTTGGGGGCAAGATGCTGGCTCTGAAAATCACTTAGAGAGGGCTGTAAAGCACTGTGAAGCAGTATATAAGTCTAAGTGCTACTGCTATTGCTAACTGGAACTTAATTGTATAGTCCTAGTCAACTAAAAGTCAGAATTAAATTGGTGCTAGTTAAGAGTTAATGGAATTTGAGAAGGGCTGGACTTGAACCGCTTGTGGGAATGTAGTGACTCCAGACTAATTCCTCTATTGACTCCCCAGGCTCTGGTCTTCTTCTACTATTTATTGCTCCAATACTGGTTCCATTAGAAAGAATAGAATAGAATAGAATAGAATAGAATAGAATAGAATAGAATAGAATAGAATAGAATAGAATAGAATAGGAATTCTTTATTAGCCAAGTGTGATTGGACACAAGGAATTTGTCTCCAGTGCATAAACTCTCAGTGTACATAAAAACAACAAGTGATAAATCATGATCATAATCATAACAAGTAATTGCCTTTTTCTCTTTTCACCTCTCTTTGCAGCCCATGCTCCCCTCCCAGTATTGGTACTACATGCTCCAGATGAGCTTTTATTGGTCATTGCTCGTTACTCTGGGAACTGACACTAAAAGGAAGGTAAAGGGGAATCAACAACTTCATCTACTTAGGAATGGGATGCAAGCCATTCTCAGATCCTGGTTTCCAGGATGCTAGATAACTGTCAGGAGGACAAATATATAGCCTATTGAATCCTTTGTAACTCTAAATTTGATAGCCATTCTTGCTCTGACATTCAGGGTGGCCCAGATTATTTGCAGCATTGAAGTTGGGCGGCACTAAAAAAAAAAAAGCCACAATGAGCTAAGTCTTACTCAGACTTACTCAATTATTTTCAAAACAACCTTAGGTCTTGTTTCTTGTTATTCTCTCACACCTGTAAAGTTGGCTTGCCTCCAAATGAAACTATGCCCCATTGTCCATTACAGCTGTTTCCTTGCAGAATATCTTCAGATTTGTCTGAAATGGTATAGGGTTTCCTGCCTGAGCAGGGGTTGGACTAGATGACCTCCAGGGTCCCTTCCAACTTTATTATTATTATTATTATTATTATTATTATTATTATTATTATTATTATTATTATTATTATTATTATTATTATTATTATTATTATTATTATGTCTTACTCATCCAAGTGAGGTACACCATTGCCCCCCGTTATTTTTCAACAAGATTCAGAAAGAACAGGCCATCAGTCTCCACCTTCCAAAATCTTCTTGGCTTTAAGAAGTTAATTTATCTATTTCTTTTCCTCAGGATTTCATGGCCCATGTGGTGCATCATTTTGCCGCCCTTGGCTTGATGTTCTGTTCCTTTAGTGCCAATTATCTCCGTCTTGGAACACTGGCGATGATTGTCCATGATTCTGCAGATATCTGGCTGGAGGTAAATCTCCGCATCGGTCTGTGCTTGTGCTCAGTTACACAAGTCACGGAATTTCGTTAATATTGTTTTTAATTCATTGTGACATCGTGAGTGTGGGTCACGAAAACCACACAGGATGTCACCACCACACATACACGCAAAAAGCAAACCCAAGCCCCACACCGATGATGAGGCACGATTACAAACCAGAAGCCAGACCACAGCTGCATCATTAGTCATCTTAAACTCCTCCAATCCATACATAAAGCAAACTGACACCCACCATGAAGATATGGCACGACCACGAACGCAAAGCCAAACAACAGCAACGCAGCTCTCCATCTCAAATCCCCCGGCAACTCAGACTAATCCGAGCACTACAAAGCTCCCACCCAAACAGAACACACCCTCATCCAATCAGAGCACAGCCAACCCCCCCATCCAATCAGAGCACAGCCAAGCCCCTAACCAATCAGAACACACCTCCACCCAATCAGAACACAGCCAAGCTCCCACTCAATCAGTTCATACCCCCACTGGCAGTTAAAAGGAAGAAACAGCTGCGATCACACATTGCTCCTAGAAGCACGAAGCCGAAAACACCAGCCTGAAGATGACGAATGGGACTTCATCGAAACGTCGCCAAGACACTTCCAATTTTACGTGGGAGAAAACCTGAATAACCAAAGACCTACATACATACACCCGCGAAAACCTCAGAAAACATGTATATGTATATGTATATATATATATATATATATAGTGCATAATATATTTATTTCAATATTTTACATTTATTGAAGACATTGTTGCAGAGTAAAAATAATAAAAAAATTAAACAAAAGAAACAGAAAAGAAAACCCATAAGTATAGAAATAAGAAATGAAGGGGAAAATGGAGAAAAAGAAACAGCTACAGCTGTTACAAAGGCATTTATATTTTATCCTGAGAAGGAAATTTCACTTCCAGAACACACTAAGTATTTTTTTTTTCTCCAACCAGTTACAACAGCTGATCATTTTTCAGGAGGTGATCCTAAGGTGGTAACTTCTCCAAATTGTTCAATTTCAGGCCGCGAAGTTGTTCAACTACGCTCGCTGGGATAATACCTGCAGTGCTCTGTTTGTCATTTTCGCCATTGTGTTCTTTATCACACGGCTCATTCTCTTTCCATGTTGGTAAGTTGTGTTCTGGACGGTTTTGGCTTGAGAAATCTGATCTCTGGATGCTACACCTGTTCTTAGCAAGCAGCCAAGAAACAAATGACCTCTGGGTATTTCTTTAGGCTGGATGCCAAACATGATTCATGTTTTGCCAAACATATTCATTAACCTATATGAATATGTATGCTTAAATTTAGGGTAGGAGAAATGACAGCTAAAAATCCAACTGTTTTTTTTTTCCCCTCTTGTTTTCCTAACAGGATTTTACGGGCCTCGATATATTATCCTACGTTTTATACCCAGACAGTTGTCCTAGCATATTTTGTATACAATGTGCAGCTATTGACCCTGCAAGCTCTTCACCTCTATTGGGCCTACTTAGTTTTCAAGATTCTGAAGAAATTGGTTTTTGTGAAGGTAAGGATGGGCAGTACACTACATATTTGAATGCGTCGCTTTCTTACTAGCCTTCCTGTAAGTAGCTGTTTCAGCAGAAGTAAAAGTAAAGGTCCTCTGATTAGCCAAATGGTTATGTGCACAGAAATGAAAAAAGTAAGTTACTGCTATTTCAAAACTGGAAATCACAAGTGCAAACAAAAACTGGGCAATCAAGTTGAGCTGGTGAACTCAGAATATATTGGATTTCAAAAGTCCCTGCATTCCCAGGCTACAGAAGGAGACAACAGAGTTCCCAAAGGTGCTTTTTCAAAAGGCAACTGGACTTTGTTTTTCCTCGGAGACGTTCCGCTCCTCATCCAGCTTCTTGGATGAGAAGCGAAATGCCTTCAAAGAAAAACAAAGTCCAACTGCCTTTTGAAAAAGCACCTTTGGGACAATCATGATCTGGATGACATCTCCACAGAGAAGACAGAGATGGACAGCATGTTGGGAAACATGATGCAGCCTGTATTAAGCCACATGGATTCAGAATTGGGCTGCTACCTCTATGCTAGGATTGAGAAAAGGATGAGTTAAAGAATTGACTTCTCTTTTATAAGTGCGTAACTCCTTATATTTAGTTTAAACAACAGTTTTGCAAGCCATGCTTTTATGACTTCGAATGAAGAACATAGCTACAAACCACAACTATGGTGTCAAATCCTCAAGGCCAAACATTTTAAGTTTGAATTCAAGAAGTGAGCAGAAGATCACCTTTCCCTGGGCCAGCCCAGCATCTTGCATCTTGGGTGTTGTTTATTCTACAACCAGTTACCCTTTCCAGGTGCTCAAGATTCCCATACCAGCTTGGGCTAAAATAGGCAATGATAAGGTAAGCAGTGTGTGGTCTATGCATGCTCTATCAGAGGTGTTCAGTCTTGGATGTTTGAGGTGAGGACAGCTGTGTCCTTGGGGAAAATCAACTGGAATTTCTGGATCAACCCAAATCGCCTGCTAATGAATAGTTTCTAAATGTACTGTCCAGTCATCTCCTCTGGAAATACAATTCATTCTCTAAACGGGTGATTGATTGATTGTCTTGATTCTGAAAATCACTGTTCTTCACAATCAAGTTTTCCCTCTATTGCTTCCCCCAGTAGATGGAAGACCAACCTTTCAATCATTCTAAAAAAACACATTAGCCTAATATAACTGGTAGACTTTCAATCTCAGTCTTGACTTGATTTGATGGAAGAATGGGTTTCCACACTGGGGTGGCTGATCGTCTTCAATTCTTTTTCTCCCTCTCCTGATTTGGCTGTCATTGATATTCAGAGATCCAACAGATTTCTCAGATCATTTCCTTTACAACACTGATCACTTTCTTTGGATTGCATTCTCACTAAATTCAAGGCGGAGTGGGCAATGTTGACCTTGGTCTTGACAAACCAGATCTCAGGTGCTTCAACAGGAGCATGTTTAGTAGATGGTAAAGCAAAAGACTACTTTTTGAAATAGATTCTATCGCTTAAATTTCTGTGAAGCACACAGGAAGAAAACAAGTGGTCACCATGGCAATGCCTGTGCCAAGGGTTGATGAATTGATGACATTGTCAGATGTCAATGCCATTTTGCTTACGTGGGCCATTCACAACTTTACCTCTTGTTTTAACTTTCCTGTATTTCAACTTTGCTAATTATGGATGTACTCTGCTACTCACTTTTTCCAAACAAAACATCTGTTAATGTGCTAGATCCCCTGAGGCATCCCAGTTCCAGACTCAAGAATGGGTCTTTCCAATCTATTTCCACCTAGCCAGAATAATGTTTCCACCAACTGCAAGCCAATTGCTTCCAGCAGACACATGAGTAATGCCCCCTCAAAAACCACAGTTCTTTCTCTGCTGTTTGCTCCCAACCTCAGAACATACAAATTAATAGTGGTGATGGGTCTCTGTGAAATTTTCTGATTTTTTTTTCCTTAGACACCATGTACATTCTTGTTATCTCCATATCTCGTGACAGTTATACTTTTTATAAGGGAATTGAAGATATGAAGTCAAACTATTTGAAACCCTCTTTGGCGAGCCTTGTTCTATTACACACACGGTGAAAAAGCTTTGTAACCTCTAATTTGAATCTGCAAAATCAAATGGAGAAAACGTTCTTGAAAATAAGGAAAAGACACGTCAGGATTCAGTATTTTTTTCTCTATGGTGGAGGAATCTTGAGTGCCTCTAAATAGCAATAGCACTTATACTTATATACTGCTTCACAGTGCTTTACCACCCTCTCTAAGTGATATACAGAGTCAGCCTATTGCCCCCAACAATCTGGGTCCTCATTTTACCAATCTTGGAAGGATGGAAGGCTGAGTCAACCTTGAGCTGGTCAGGATTGAACTCTGGGTTGTAGGCAGAGTTTGCCTGCAATACTGCATTCTAACCACTGCGCCACCAGAGTTCCTAAAGAAATAGCATATAAGAGAGAGATGGGCTGATGTTTCTCCATCTTGGCTATTTTTCTTCATGAACAAATTATCTTTGTTTGAAGGGTGAATAATCACTCACCAATAACTGGGAAAAGTATAGATCTTATTTTTTATGTTACAATTTGATCCGCATTTTGGGGAGACTAGAACAGTTCATAACATGCTTGCTGTCACTATCTCAACACCATTTTGTATATTATTTAATATCTAGTGTCCTCTTTCCTCCCCAGTATTTTGGCTCAAACCCCCATCAATTCAAGTTTCCAAACCAGGTCTCCAAACAGTGTCGAACTGAGTACAGATTCTCTGAGAACATGTTTTTGAGAATCTCCGTGACACTCTAATTTCCTTCTACATCTGGGTGGCTTTTTTTTTTTAATTTGGGGAAGATGGTGTCACTTCCTCTTAGCCAGCCAAGGATTTAAACAAGTGGAATGTTTCTGTAAGCGTCTAGAATTCCATTTCTCCCCCCCCCCCTGCCTTTTTTCCTTAGGCAAAAAAGGTTAAGTTTTGGGCAACTTCCCTCTTTAGAGTGGGTCTCCTGCATAGCTAGTTGGCGAAGGCTGGAATTAGCATAGCAACTAGACGTAGAGTGTTAAATGTTAACTTTGAAGTTAAGTTAACTTTTAATTAACTTAACATTCAAGTTCAATTCAGATTTAAATGTTTGGCATGGAGAGAACTCTTACAGGAGAGAGCAGACCTGGGCCTTTTACGGCCTTTTGACTGCCCGTGTCCTGCCTGCAGTCAACCGGAAATTAGAAATCAAATGTAAATACCTCAAGTCTACACCACGCACACAATACAACTGCATTGCTTTTATTTTGTAGGCGACGGCTTATTTTCCATTGACATTTGGGTGCACCTATGCCTTTCACAGCCCTGTTGGTTCGGCCATCCATAGCCGTCCCAGTTTCTCATATGAGCCCTTGGGCAAATTAATTGCCCACCCAAGGAAAGAGCATCAAAGGCAAAACAAAAAGCTTTCCTACGTATCCCAAAGGTGCTTTTTCAAACTTTGTTTTTCCTTGAAGATATTTTGCTTCTCATCCAGGAAGCTTCTCCAGTTCTGGCCTTCGGTCCTGACCAAGCTTCTTGGATGAGAAGTGAAATGTCTTCAAGGAAAAACGAAGTCCAGTTGCCTTTTGAAAAAGCACTTTTGGGACAACCAAGACCTGGAGGACGGAGAATCTCCATAGACACTTTCCTATATAGTACAGGTAGTCCTCGCTTTACAACCATTTGTTTAGTGACCGTTTCTGAATAGATGAATGTACACAGAGGAAAGATTCAAAGAAAGGATTAGAAATTCAAGCCCACAGTTTTTCTTTGAATCCCTCCAATTACAGCACTCAGTAGGATGCCCTACATCTTATTATCTAAATGGTTTTGGATTGGTTTTGGTTAGCTTTGAGATGGTCAAATTCTCATAGCGAGAACCCCTTCAGCTTGAGTCAAAGCATCATTTTAGGGTTAACAAAGGCATTTAAAACAATGCTAGAATTCTGGGGGTGGTGTCCTTTGTTTTACTGCCAAGAATCCAATTGGACTCACTCAGAAAACAGTGGGACCTCGGGATTCACACTTGATCACCTGGTCTTTGACACGAGCCCAGAGATATGTGCCCTGGAGGACTTCTTGAATTTCAGTAACCCAGTTAACAGAATGAATGAAGTCTGCAACCGGTATTAAAAAAACGGTTTGCTTACAGTCATTATATCTCCACTGGGTTCTGCCAAACGATTATGAAACATACCTGAAAGGCAGCATTGTGCTTTGGCAAGATGTAAGGAATGATAATATTGGAGGCTAATTTGGGTTTCCGAAAAATTTTGAGAAAGGCAAAGTAATGTGGTTTGTTTGGGTAGAAAAGTACAAGCCAACCACCTTTTGTTTGTTCTTTCAGGATCGTTCCCAATCAAGATTATTTGCTGTTTTGTCATTTACAGGCAGTCCTTGACTTTCAACAGTTTTGCTTAGTGCCCGTTTTAAAGTTACAACAGTACTGAAAAAAGTGACTTATGACCATTTTTCACATTTACAACCATTGCGGCATCTCCAGGGTCACCTGATCAAAATTCAGACGGTTGGCAACTATAATAATAATAATAATAATAATAATAATAATAATAATAGTAAAGTTGGAAGGGACCTTGAAGGTCATCTAGTCCAACCCCCTGCTCAGGCAGGAAACCCTATACCATTTCGGACAAATGGCTGTCCAGTCTCTTCTTAAAAACTTCCAGTGTTGGAGCATTCACCGCTTCTGACTCATATTTATGACGGTTGTAGTGTCCCGGGAGTGTGTGTGTTTCCCTTTTGCGACCTTCTGACAAGCAAAGTCAACGGGGAAGTTAGATTTGCTTAACAACCGTGTTACTAACTTAACAACTGCAGTGATTCATTTAACACAGGGGTCTTCAAACTTGGCCCTTTTATGACTTGTGGACTTCAACTCCCAGAATTCCTCAGCCAGGCACGCGTGTCTGGCTGAGGAATTCTGGGAGTTGAAGTCCACAAGTCATAAAAGGGCCAGGTTTGAAGACTCCTGACTTAACAACTGTGGCAAGAAAGGTCGTAAAATGGGGCAAAAGTCACTTAACAAATGTCTCATTTAACAACAGACATTTTGGGCTCAATTGTCATAAGTTGAGAACTACCTATGTTCTATAGAGGGCCTATAGTTTTATATACACTTCCTTTGGAGTAATACCCATTCTAACTAGGAGAAACTCACTTTTGAGTTAAGATTTATAGGAAAGGGCTGGCTATTTTAGCTGATTATATTTACAATGTGGATTGAGTTATACAGATGCCCTTGGAAAGATTTGGTAACAATAATTTACAAATAGGTTGGAGTAATATTTTCATTGCTCAATAGTTCTTTTAAGTTTCCAATTCCAATTCACCAGTCTCATCCCTAAGAATTTAGAAATCTCCCAATCTTTGTAATTTGGCAAAACCCGCAGTTATTAAAGCTGTTTTCCTTAAGAGACAAATTTCCCCACATCAATATTCTGTCTTTAATGGAAATTCTCACAGATATATTCAGCAATGTCGAAACTGCAAATCCACAATGGATTATGGGGATTGTGATCTAGTAGATTTGGAGAACACCAGACTGGGAAAAATTGCTTTCAGTCAAAATAGGCTAGAAATGAGTGCAAGCATCCCATGATAAATATTCTCAAAATGAACCAAACTATGATAGGGCAATGATGGCTGTCATATGGTACTAATACCACGTTGCTAATCACTGCACGAATCATTTATTAATGGGTCAGCTGAATGTTATCCTCAAGATTTACATGTAACCATCCTTTTATATGTTGAAATGAACAAATGTTGACTTTTAAATTAGATTTACATACATGGAATTATTAACAGGATAACAAAATAACAAAGTTGGAAGGGATCCTGGAGGTCTTCTAGTCCAACCCCCCTCCTGGTCAGGCCATTTCAGACAAATGGCTGACCAGTCTCTTCTTAAAAACCTCCAGTGTTGGAGCACTCACAACTTCTGGAAGCAAGTCGTTCCACTTGTTCATTGTTCTCACTGTGGGAAATTTCTCCTTAGTTCTAGGTTGCTTCTCTCCTTGATTTGTTTCCATCCGTTGCTTCTTGTCCTGCCTTCAGGCACCTTGGAGAATAGCTTGACTCCTTCTTTGTGGCAGCCCCTCAAATATTGGAACACTGCTACCATGTCACCTCTAGTCCTTCTCTTCATTCTATTATTCTATTTTCCTTTTAGCCAAACAATACATATTCATTGGATGCAGAACTGGTCGGGCTCCTCAATATGCTTAACGCCATCTGGCAAAATTTCACATATGTTTCAACAGAGCAATTATGCAGATACCTTTCCTTTTGATACTCCAAAAGCAAAAGTCAGCATTAAGTTCAATATAAAAAGCACTCACAAGACTATTCAAAGAGCCATCCCCTCAACGACACATCATCAAGAGCTTGATCAACGAGGCAAGCTTAAAACTTGCTGACCCAACCCTGGAACATAAGCCAGGTTTCCATCAAAATATTTCCTCTCTCTGTAGGAGGCACATATATTATTTTTTTGATTCGTGGAGGAGTTTTTTTTTCCCCCTCTCTCTCTGTAAAATGCTAACGACGGTCGTCATGGAGCCCCCAGAAAAACTTGCTGCCTTATGTTCAGGGCAAAGGGAATTTTTACCCAGGAAATCCTAGGGGTGATTTGGCCAACATGATACCTCATCAATTGTTTGTGTGCGGAAAGATGCTTTTCCTTTCCTCTCATCTGATCGTGTGCCAAGTTTATCTTTCAATATTTACATTATGGATTGTTTGTTTGGATACACTTCTGCATATAGCTTCGGAAAAGACAAAAGAGAAAAACGCCAGGAAGTCTGTGCTGTGTGGCCGAAGCTGATGGGAGTTTATATTTTCATTTTCTGTTCTAACTTTGCTCTGTTTTCATCAAACCGAAGAGTACTGAGGTGGAAATGGGCAATCCCAAACTTGCTTGCTTTCTGAAGAGTTTGATGCCTACCTATAGTACCAATAAAGGAGAATATTACTGGCTCAGGGTTGAAATGGGGGGGGGGTCCTTGGTGCTCTCTGAGCTTGCTTGTTTTCTTGCAGACGTTTCATTACCCAACTAGGTAACATCATCAGTGCTAGAAAGAAGTGGGGTTTGCAGCGATGGGGAGGAGGTGGAGGTAGACTGTAGGGTCCTCGGTGCTCTCTGAGCTTGTTGATCTTGCAGATGTTTCATTACCCAACTAGGTAACATCATCTGTGCTAGAAGGGAGTGGGGTTTGTGGAGAGGAAAAGGAGAGGACAACAACTGTGGGGTCCTTGGTGCTCTCTGAGCTTAATGCTTTTCTTGCAGACCTTTCATTACCCAACTAGGTAGCATCATCAGTGTTAGAAGGGAGTGGGATTTGCAGAGGGGAGGAGGAGAAGGTAGACTGTGGGGTCCTTGGTGCTCTCTGAGCTTGCTGCTTTTCTTGCTGACATTTTATTACCCAAACTAGGTAACACCAGCAACGCTGATGATGTTACCTAGTTTGGGTAATGAAATGTCTTCAAGAAAACAACTAAGCTCAGAGAGCACCAAGGACAGACCACTCAATCCTAAACTTGGCTAGACTACTATCCTAAGAGTAGCGTGATATGGCCTTATGAGCATATATATATATGTGAAGAGGCAGATCTAAGAATGATTTAAGATGTATTTATTTACTTACTTACTTACTTAAGAAAATGTATACGGCTGCTCAACTCACTCCAGAGAACTCTGGGTGGTTTACAAAAATAAAATCCCAAATCAAACCCAGTAAACCCCCGCCAAAGGTCCAATGAAAACGTGTTCTTGTTGTGCAAGAAGATTTGGTGTCGCTGTCAAAAGTAACATTCTTCCAAGCTAAAGGTTTAACTTGCGTTAATACTATTTTAGTATAAAAAGTAACTAGATAATTCATAAACCTCTGCAAATTTGGTGTAACATATATATATATATGTATAGGATTGCTCTAGGGCCGATTCTCTGCTTAGGCAACATTAAACAGTCGCCTAGAGCAGTGATGGCGAACTTATGGCACGCGTGCCAGAGGCGGCACTCAGACCCCTCCCTGTGGGCACACCTGCCGCCGCCAGCTCATGCAGGTCCATTAGGCCACCGCTGGCACCCGGAGCAGCAGCCTCACCCAGCACAAAGGAGGTGAAGCAACTGGCTAGCAAACTCGAGTAGAGGTAGTAGAGCATGCCCCCATGTGCTCGCTGGCCTCTGTGTGTGGGGATTGATGGTGTCAGGCAGCCACCGCCTCTGCCTTGCCCCACAGCAATGGCACCCCCGCCCTACCCCCCGCCTCACCCCGCAGGACGAGCCTCCTGCCCACCACCCCACCCACCAGAGACCTCCTGGATCTCCCCCAATCCTGCCCAGCCCCCACAAGCATCCCCCCCAACGAGCAACATCAAGGTGGCCATGCCTACTCAGTCTGCCATGACCGCCACCACCACGCCCACCCAGTGGGCCTCACACCCCCACATCCCCCCTGAGGGCACCACAATGCTGATGCAGCCCTGGCACTTTGCGATAAATAAGTGGGTTTTGGTTTGCAGTTTGGGCACTCGGTCTCTAAAAGGTTTGCCCTCACTGCCCTAGAGCATCAAATTTTAGGGAGTGCCACAATGGAAAAGATGTCCATAACGATTATAAAATCTTATAATCTTTTCTCGTTGCTCTGGAACTTCTTCTCTGTACGCTTTTCGAAAACACTTACCCACAAGTCAGTTGAATGGTATTGAAACTTACCCCAACTTCACATATGGTCCCGATCCCTTGTGCCTGATGATCAAAAACTGCTGGTTTACACTTCTTCTGAACGTCACATTTTTTTCCCCTCTTTGTTTGATGTAACACCAAGCAACTCACATAGTGCATAGCTGACTCTTCTTAACGCTCTTGATATTCTCTCTTCCTAGAATGTTAAAGATGAACGGAGTGATGAAGAAGAAGAAGACTCTATCAGCGATACGGAAGGGGAATGTATGAAGAAGGAAATGAAGAATGGATTACATGATCCTCTCCTAAATAATAATAATATTAATTAATGCCCAGCCAATACCATCTTGTGTCATTAACTGCTGTGTCGTAAACCCAACCCACCAAACAGACTTTTTACATCCACATCTAAACCAAAGTCCATGATTGGTTTGATTGCAGATCAGTAGACTTAGCAGAGAACTCAAAACTCTTTGAAAAAAAAAAAAAAGGAGCCTCCTTTGTAATATGCAGTCTGGAGGATACGCAATGAAATTATTATTATTATTTTTTAAAAAAACAAACAAACTCAGAACGGTTAAGAATGGGAATGGATTTAGAATGTAACCTTTTTAGATGGAGATCTTCACGTATTTAAACTTTGATAAGACTTAAAACAGTTTGGACAAGTTTTCAATAATGTTTTAATAGGATTTGAGAAGTGTGGCTTTCTAATGGTTTTACTGAAGAGCGGAATGGCTTTACACAAGGAAAATCCACGCAGCTGGAATCTGCTCCAGTGAAAGGTTAACCATATTTGATCGGTAGGCTGCTGATTGATGGGCTCCAAGTAAAGACAGGAAGTCAATCCTGCTTTCTCAGTTCATCTCTATCAGTGAAGCCCCAAATATAATTGTCAGATGTAATTGCAGAGCCCAGAAATGAATTCTAGTTTTAGTGCTTTCAAGTTTCAGCTTTCAACTCAAGTTGAAAGAAATGTCGCTGATTCCTAAGTGCACTTTGCAGTCAGTCTTGAATTCTTGCAACTGCCGTGGATTTGACAACATTTTTGGAAGTTGATGTCATAATAGGGTTGCCAGGTCTGCTTCCAAAAAATAGCGGACAAGCGGGGGGGGGGGGGTTAAGTAGTAAAAAAAGTAGATTGTACAGCTTTAGATTGCGTACCATTTCATCATAAAGCTTTTGAATAAAAAAAATGTCCACTATTTTGTGAAAAAAAAAATAGTGAACATAATGTGAAAAAAGTGGACTGTCCGCTCAAATAGTGGACACCTGGCAACCCTATGTCATAAGCCAGCAGGAGTCACTGAGACCAAGTTGGGTGACCATATAAATTTTCTTAAATAAAAAAAAAAATATTCCCATGACTGAGAGTGAGTGACTGTCCCCCAAATCACGTAGCTGGTCTCCCAGTACTTTTAACCACTACACCAAAGTGGTGTTCCAAATATGATGGACTATTTATATGGAAAATAAGCAAAGGTAGACAGGAATATCTAGATTAGGATTAAAACCATCTGCTTGAACTGTATTAATGTCAACCCTGTTTTTTTGTTGTTGTTGTTTTTTGAATTCTTCAACTCTGAATTCCTTTTTATTTATACTTACTCTTTCATTATATAGTCTTGATTTTCATTCTTTGTGCACTCTGGATTATTTTATTTAGAGATAAAGTGTGAATCTAGGCCTCGGTCTGGAATTAAGTAAATAAGAGCAGCTATCAGGACAATGAAGAAATGAAAAAGAAGAAACAAGAGACAAGATTGTGAGTTATGGTATCAGTTGCACTGGGTGAAAAGGATGCTTGGCTGAAAAATGCTGTATGCAGGAAACACAAACGCCACTATTTTAAGAGTTCTGTTTAGAAAAAGAAATTCTTCCTCAGGTGATTAAATTTAAGATTTAAGTAACCAGTTTTTCAGTAAATGTTTTAAAAACTTGTCTGGGATCTATATGGCTGCGATGACTGCATTTTACGGCGCCCCTTTTCCGATCTTAGGAAAACAGACAAACACAGCAATGTTGTACTAATTCTTCACAATGCTCAAGTACTGAGAGTGATGGACAAAATAGTATTTATACTATCCTAATAAATCAACTACCTTCTCTTCTCAACATCCCAGTGTTCATGAGGGCTGCAATTTGTCATCATTGATGACAAAAATGTTTGCAGAATGTTTCATTATAGCTTGGATTTAACCCAACAGGTGTAAACCATGGATTTTAGCTATTTAGCAACCAGGTTTAAGCAGAGCGCTTACAGGACAGGACAGGACAGTGTTGTTTTTTGATGATTGGGCTGGTTAACTGAATGTAAACCACAGTTTGTGAAGTAAATCATAATTCTCTGGGTTCACAAAAGATGCTAAAAGACAAGCAAAGCCCAGTGCAGCTTCTTCTAATGTGTGAATCAAGAGGTGTGACTCTGTTGCGCACTTTCGCCACTGCCGATTTTTAGAATGGTTAACTAGTAGTAATTAATGTAAGAAAGAAAATATGCCGTCACTTAGATGCCAATTAATTGGGTTTGAACAAATGTATTCCAAACTGATCAATCACCCAGCTCTTCTCAGAATGAGCAATACACCTTTTTACCCTTTGGAACTGTAAAACAAGTTCCAAAGGATATTTGGAATAAATATCTGAAGGTCAGCCTTCAACATATTAGCCTCCTTATAATTGATAATAATTAACAAAAAACCAGTTATAGTTCTTGCCACCACTAAGGGACAGGTTAGCAGGCCGAGGAAACGAGATCTTTTAGAGAAGAGCATTCCAACAATGAAACTTTTTCCCCCAAAGAATCAAGATTGGCACCACTAGGTTGTGCCAGACCCACCTACCCCTTTTTTTCAAACATAGCTCTTGGCCCAAGATACAAATGCTGCCACCATCCTAACTCATACAAGGAATTAATTAATCATGGTAACCTGAAGAGGCCACTATGTCCATCAGATCTTGCTCTCTCATGGAAAAGGATTCCAAATCAGAGCATCATAGGCAAATGTTTACTTAGCCTTTGCTTAAATCAGGGGTCTTCAAACTTGGCCCATTTGAGACTTGTGGACTTCATCTCCCAGAATTCCTCAGCCAGCCATTCAATTCTGGGAGTTGAAGTCCACAAGTCTCAAATGGGCCAAGTTTGAAGACCCCTGGCTTAAATGATCCAATAAATAAAGGAGAACTTGGCTCCTTCCTGGGGTTGGTCTAAATCCTGGAGCAAAATTACCCTTGCCAGTAGGAAGTCACCTGTCTTTCTTAGTAAATGTCCCAAAGGTGGTGTTTTTTTTTTCAAGAGGCTACTGGACTGAAGAACTGAGGAAGCGTCTCGGATGAGAAGCGAAACGTCTTCAACGGAAAAACAAAGGAAGTCCAGTTGCTTCTTGAAAAAGCACCTTTGGGACAGCCATGACTGAGAATCTCCATAGATAGTCTTAGTAAATGGTTTAGTATTGCTGAAAATGATCACCAGGTGGTAGTAAAGCTACACTGCTCTGCATGGGAAGCTCTGGAATATCCTATGAAGTTGACTGAAAGAAATCTGCTCTTTGCTTTGTATTAAGTGACCAACAGAGTTTCAGCTTCAGCATCTGTCTTTCCAAGGAACAATCAGAGTTGATTTCACTGAGGATTAACAAACGTTCGAGTAGATCAAGGCAGACACCTTTTCTCTGTTGTACACGAACACAGCAATTGTGCTTGGCTGATTCAAGTTTAGCGTGTTTTGTAAAATTCAGTCCTTATGTGACCAGCAATCCACTGTTTTTGGACTTCTGATCAAGTTGTTAATCTCTGCTAAGACTTTCCCTTCCCTCATAGCAATGGACAACAACTCAACCAATCTGTTTCAGAAGCATCACTGTCACAAGTACATGAGAATGTATATATCCCTTTGAGAGGAAGCCAACGATGGTATCTAGAGGAGAAGAGCTGTATAGGAAAATACTTTGATGGCGATCCAAGTTAACTCTCCACGAGCCAAAGAGCTTCTTCTCGCAAAGATGTTTATAACATGTGTTCAACATCTCTAAGGGGTTATTAATTTTGCAGTCGTAGCTGCAAAGCTTGGCTTCTCTTGAGGGTGTTTCAAGAGGAAGGATGAAATAAAAATTTGAAAAAAGGAGCAGAGGAAGATGATATTTCTAAAAAAAAAAAGGGGGGGGGGAAAGTCTACCACTTACAAATGACTCAAGTATCCCATGACAGTCCAGAGCTGGAACTGAAGGTCTGATAGTCCCAAAGGTATTTTTTCAAAAGGCAACGTAGACTTTCTTTTGTTTCTCCTTGAAGATGTTTCGCTTCTCATCCAAGAAGCTTCTTAAGAACTGAAGATGCGTCTTGGATGAGAAGCGAAATGTCTTCAAGGAAAAACCAAGAAAATCCAGTTGCCTTCTTTAAAAAAAGAAAAAAGAAAAAAGCACCTTTGGGACAAGCCTCACCTGGGTGACGGAGAATCTCCATAGACGTGAAGGTCTGATAGGTGTGAATTACCACACTGAGAAGGGGGGGGGGGGAAAGGAAGACATTGGAGGCGTAGTCAGTTGTGTGGATCAGCGAAAGAAGCAGGAGGCCAAGCCATTTGGTGGCCGTCTGTGAAACGTCCTCTCGGCATGTCACAGGCTGCATGTGCCAATTGTGGTTAGCTGGAGCATGGTTTAAACCAACTTTGCTTTTGCAGGACACACCGAATCAATAAGCACCATGGATTTGCACAATGCACTAAGCTGGAGAAAAAAAAAACCTGCATCTATTTCCCAGCCCAAGGGGTTAATTGGAGCAAGGCAGATCTAAACCTGGAATTAAGGAGAAACTTCCTGACAGTGAGGACAATCAACCAGTGGACCAGCTTGCCACCAGAAATCGTGGGCGCTCCATCACTGGAGGTTTTTAAGAAGAGGCAAGACAGTCGCTTGTCTGAGATGGTATAGGTTCTCCTGCTTGAGCAGGGGGCTGGACTAGAAGACCTCCAAGGTCTCTTCCAGCTCTATTCCATTCCATTCCATAGTCTATTCCGTTCCTTATTCTATTCTAATTCTATTCTATTCTATTCTATTCTATTCTATTCTATTCTATTCTATTCTATTCTATTCTATTCTATTCTATTCTATTCTAATTCTTATTCTTATTCTTATTCTTATTCTTATTCTTATTCTTATTCTTATTCTTATTCTTATTCTGCACCCCAGCAAAGTAGACATCTTTTCGTTCTCTCAGTGCTCCTGTGCATTTAACCCTTTCTAGTTGCAAGGCTTTTTTTGAGATGCTTTTGTGGCAACACAACCTCACACCAGTTTCTCCATCCCTTGAAAGGCTTTCCCTGCACAAAGTAGCGGCTGGATCAAACGCTGCACTCAATTCTAATTTCAGAGGGGCCTGCTAATTATTAACCAAAGCGAAGCAGAGTAGATGGCAGGAAGCCATCAACGTGGCCGGCCTTAAT